GATTGTGTGTCGTGTGCTAATATTTGCAAACATTGCAAAGCATTACATACATTTATTCTCAGAGCAGAGGGTAATCAAACCTATGACCTTAGTGAGAGAGTGCGCAGTTCTATATATTCACACACACCAAGCCAGGTTTCAGAACTGTGTGTGGCCTGGCGTGTGTTGTGGCTTGCTGTTTATGGTACTGCGTATCACGCGTCTCCGAAGATTGCCAAGGTTACATTCTACCCTGGTTTAAGATAAATATTTGATATATGTATTTTTGCGTCGTGTGTGTGTGTTGTTTACCAATTTGTATTCATCTCTTTGTTTACAAGGGTCGAGTCTTGCTCCTGTACCTGCCTCTCCGCTGGCCACTACTGGGTTAACTCTTTATTAGCTGTCTTGGGGGGGACCCCCTTTTCATATCTATTCTTTAATAAAAACTTGTTTTTGAATCTGCACCCTATAACTGGCAGGTTAGGTCGTTCCACTTCCTGGACCACTGTAAGACTAAGAATATTTCCTGATATCTGCCGTATGTGTGTTTATGTGAGAGATGTGGAGTATTTGCCTGGAGTTATACTGGAGAGGGTTTTTGGGGGTCAACGTCCCCGCGGCCGGTTCTATTAAGTATGATGGGAGCATTTTGAAACAGTCTTGGCGACCCCTGACACTGATTGTGTTGTCTCTCAGTTGTACCCGTGGTGCCCTGAGTTTCATTGGGGAATACTGGCATCTCCTGTCGAGTCTTTTGCTTTTCGTAGGGAGTGATTTGTGTCAGTTTGGTACTAAATCCCTCTAGGTATTTTCTCGCCTGCATTACAGTGGAATACAAATCAAGGGACTTAAACTTACCCAAGGATATAATTTACATGGATCGAGTCTCGGCTTTCGACCACCACACGTATTCCACTGGAACTGGTAATTAGACCTATCTATATACCTGCGTACAGAATGCCTCATTCGCAAGTTGTGGTCGCAGAAGAATTGATCAATCAAATGCATGATGAGTTATTGCACCTAGCATTTTCATTGGAATGCGCCCCTAATCTAGTGCTAGAAGGATGGGACTTGGCGCCCAGTGATTTGACTTTAGGAAGTTAAATGCGGATAACTATTCCTGTTCGCTTCCCACATCCTGTACTGGGGTGTTCTTATACGTACATTAGGAGATAACAAAGTCTTTCCAACCCTGGCCTTGTTACAAGGGTTTTGAAAGTCCCTCTTCACGAGGAACAGCCAAGAGCTAACGCATTCTCCACTCCTAAGGTCATTATCACTTCCTCCGTATGGCCTTTGGCATTACGATCCTCCCCATCACGTTTCTCAAGCCCATGACTAAATATCTTTGACGGTCTCAAGGGATGCAACTTATAGTGTACTTAGATGACGTAATCGTCATGTCTAAAGACGTGGATACACTTGAAAAGACTTGATGCAGTACTTGGTAAGCTTGAAGAACCCAAATTTTAAAAAGATCAAACTGTCAAAAGGGTCAATTTCTTCCAGATCAGAAATCAAGTTTCTTGGTCACGTAGTCACTCCTAAGGGGTTACACCGACCAAGTAACTGCAGTACTAAATTTTCCAACTCCCAAAACTGCTGATGCCATAAGATCCTTTGTGGGTTTAGCAGGTTTTTATAGATTTTTCATTGCCAATTTTTCTTCCATAGCTCTCCTCTGAGTTGCTTAAGAAAGATGCTCCTTTTGTTTGGACCTTCCGTCAAGAAAGAGCATTCCAAACTCTAAAAGAAAAGCTAACACTTGCTCCAATTTTGAAATTTTCCAGATTTTTCTAAGCCTTTCTATCTGACAACTGGATGCTAGTAAATTGGCATAGGTGCTGTACTAGCTCAGAAGACTGATGGCAAGTACAACGCAGTTGCATTTGCTAGCCGAGTCCTTACGAAGGCTGAACGTAATTATACAGTAACTGGGGCAAGACATTATTTATCAGTACTCGTTCATGTCTTGACAGACCATGCTCCACGAAAACCTTTTATTCCAGAACAAACAACCTACTGGAAGGTAAGCCAGATGGACCTTGACTATCCAAGAGTTCAATCCCACCTTTGAACACTTGCCTGGCAAGTCAAATGTATTTTGCAGATGCTTATCATGACATATTAGTATAGTAACGCAGATCCTCCATTTACTGCCGAAGATGTAAAGAATGCTCAACGAACAGTTCCCATGTGGTCTGGTGTGATTCGATTCCTGCTCCAGGAAGATCTTATTCTGACTGTGAAGCCACCAGCACCCATCAGTGACTTTGTCATGAACCAAGAATTACTGTATCGAACAGCCGAGTTTGGGTACTCCTAGCAGAAGAGTAAAACCAGTTAGTAATTCCACAATCACTATGAATGTAGCCTTACAGCTAGTTCACGATGTACCAGGTGTTGCGCACCCTGGTAGGGATAGTTCAGTAAAACAAGCCAGATTGAAATACTTTTGGCCTCGTATGGCAACTGATATTTCTGAGTATTTTTAAGAAATGTAGTGTCTGCATGCAACATAAAGGTAATGCAATGGTCCTAATCCAATCCAAGTGTATCCAACTACTAGCGAACCATGGGAAAGAGTTGCAATAGATCTGTTAACTAATTTCCAATGTTCCCTCCAGGGCAAAAAACCCATCTGTGTGTTATGGTAAAACCATTTCACCAGATATTGCGAGTTCCTATTGCAGATAAGACTGCCGAGACAGTAGCTAAAGCGTTTAAAGAAACAAAATCTGCAGGCATACCACCCCTAAGTCCCTATAACAGATAATGGAGGTGAATTCTGTAATGAGATTCTTGAAAATTTGTGTACCTTGTAAAAAGATCTCTAAATCCACCATTGTTCCTCATCATCCGCCCCGCAATGGGTTAGCGAACGAACCAATAAGAAAGTACTTGATGTCTTGAGAGCCACTATCAAACCCAACAGTGAAACTTGGGATGAAGTTAAACCTGAATTGGGAGTGTGCTATAAATTCCCGCTTACAATGTTTCTATAGATGACACTCCACATTATGCATTGTAATGGTGTAGATAAACGTTTGCCTTATGATTGTTATAATTCCCAACCCGAAACCAAATTACAACCCTGATGATTCATAGCAACTCGTACCAGCCTAGCTCAAAGCGTCTTTAGAAGAATCCGTGAAACACTTCAAAATCAACAGCAGAATTTTCAAGAGTCGCAAACACTCGAGCAAAGCCATCCAAAATCAAAGGTTCGAGAGTTATTTCTGACTAACTTTAACAAAACGTCTGCAATGCCTAAGCTTGATCAAAAGTTGTTGGTCCTTATCGAGTAGTTGAACATATCACTGGCAATAAATATAAGGTTAGAGAAATTAGTACTGGTCAGTATAAAGAATCCCATTTAGATCATATGAAGTTAGTATGTGATGATAATGATGTTCCAACCCAGACTAATGTGACAGACCTGACAACCCTCCTGATCCTGTACTCTCTACCTCTGATACTCATCAGACGATTAACCTGTACGTACACGACAGGTATTGAGAAATCCTCAAGTATCATTTGTAACTACTAATTTAGATTTGCCTCAAATACAGCATGAGTTAGCCAGTGCAACACAGTTTGATCCTCCCAGAGATGACAACCCATTCTGCATATGTCAATCTCACCCTAGCAGAGTTGGGGGTTAAAGTAAATAACCTGTATAGATAATAATTACAGTATCAACTTATCAGTATTTTAAGAATTTTTTTTTTTTGTTCACGTTCTCCTCCGAATTCTGAGAGTTAACAGTCTAGATTTGAGTGCACCGAAAACTGCCTTTCTGTTAAACACTTCTTTCTTTTTATATAGTTTTCTTCCTCAGAATCCGTAGATCACATGAATACAGATCGATCGATCAAATTTATTTTTATCACTTCTATTGTGTAATCCCCAAGTTGAGTCTCATTTTATGAGTTTGTGCTATATTATACCTTATAATTCATTACAGTTTCATTACAGTAAGTTTCATTATAGCCAATTACGTAAGCTTCCATTCCAATATTCTCCTTATGTTATAATGTTCAATTGTTGTGTACTTTGACATTGTATAGAATCAGCCCAAGCCATACACCTGCCGTCTCTAGTTTGTATTAGCTGTATGTCGGGAAGACATACGTTAACGTCTCCGAGCTCTCAGTAGTACCAGTTACCAGTAACCAGTTACCAGTAGATGACTCACTACCAACCGTCTGTGTGAATCACTGACTGTTATTCACGTTGCTGCTGACCATAGCATGCTTTTGAATGCCGTTCACCCACTAGGCACGGGTGGGTCAGTCTGAGGTAGGGAGCAGAAAGAGGTAGGGTGGCTGATGGCACTTCCCATACTTCTGTTATAATTATACATACTAACCAGCCTACGTGAGTGTTTTTACTCCATCCACGTTATCGAACCCACATGACAATGCAGTATGTGTGTATATGTGTTTATGTGTACGTACTTGCTGGAGTATACCTGGAGAGGGTTTTGGGGGTCAACGTCCCGCAGCCCGGCTATTATGTATGATGGGAGGCAGTTGAACAGTCTTGGGGCCCCTGACACTTATTGTGTTCTCTCAGTGTACCCGTGGTGCTCCTGTGTTTCATTGGGGAATACTGCATCTCTTTTCGAGTCTTTTGCTTTCGTAGGGAGTGATTTTCGTGTCAAGTTTGGTACTAATCCCTCTAGGATTTTCCCAAATGTATATTATCATGTATCATTCTCGCCTGCGTTACAGGGAATTACAAATCAAGGACTTAAACTTACCAAGATATATTTACATGGATCGAGTCTCGGCTTTCGACCACACCTGTTATCTTTCAGTAAACATTTATCAGATCCTGTCCTTACCATGCCTACTCATGTTATATTTAAATGGGAAGGAACATAGTGAAGTGATCCCGGTGAAGCCAAATGGTTTAGAAAATGGAGTAACAAGTCTTATGCTCGATAAATCGATAGAATTTTAGTAACTTTACTTTAGCAAGGCAAAAGCATAAACTATGTTATTCATTATAAATTCATAAATTATTACAGTTAATTAATGTATAATGTCATTGTACTGTTACTTCATTTGCTTTGAGGTCCTCAAACTTTCGTATTTATTAACCTTATTTTTCAACCCTGTGTCTTTATTGACCCTTTGGTCAATAAAGACACAGGGTGTCTTTATTGACACCGTGTCAATAAATTATTTATAATTCTTATTGGTTCTTTATTCAACCCGAGGCGTTTTTATTGACCATGTCATCGGCCATAGGTGGTCTACAGACCTTGGTCATACTTAGGTGACTTTGCGATCTGTCCTTCGTCACTCTTTGGTGTCTTTACTGATCCTGATATCTGCTGTGTGTCTTTATTGACCTTGTGGTCAACCTTCTGTGTTTATTGAACATTTAGCCAAGTTTATGTATCCAGTTGTGTAAGAATACCGGGTACAGAGCAGTCAGTCCATACTCTAGCATGTGTACGGACACCTTCACTGACTCACCCGAAAATGTACGAATTTCTTAGTATGAGAGATTCTTATTACTGCTAAAAAGGCTCACTACGTCTCGATCTCATTTAGTGAACGTTCTGGAATTCACCACAAGTGAACAAACTGTAGTGTAGTTCTTGTTGCTGTCTCTGAATGCTTGTCGCTGTGTCTGCTCGTTGCTGTCTCTCCTTGTTACCGTCTATGCTTGTTGCTGTCTCTGCTTGTTAAGATAAGATTTCGTTCGGATTTTTAACCCCGGAAGGTTAGCCACCCAGGATAACCCAAGACAGTCACTGCGTCATCGAGGACTAACTTATTTCCATTGGGGTCCTCAATCTTGTCCCCCAGGATGCGACCCACACCAGTCGACTAACACCCAAGTACCTATTTGCTGCTAGGTGAACAGGACAACAGGTGTAAGGAAAAGTGTCGAAATGATTCCACCCGCCGGGAATCGAACCCGGGCCCTCCGTGTGTGAAGCGGGAGCTTTAGCCACAGAGACAGCTTGTTGCTGTCTCTGTTTACTTGTTGCTGTGTCTGTTTACAGAAGTCTATTCATCACTACTTATTGACTGTTGCTTTAATTTCACATTCTGCTCAACAGCTGGGGCTTCCAACATAGAAATCTGTTCTTTAATTTCTTTGACAGCCAAAAAACACAAGAATTATATTATTCCTTCAAGTAATTATGTTTGGTATAATGTCACGCTTTTAAATTTTCCCGTTCTAGCGACTACGTATTCAGCTGAGATCATATCTGATGCTTCCAAATGTGTAGTGATCATGAAATTTTTTATTAACCCTTCACATCGTTATTTTCCATCAATTTTATTAAAAGAGCATAGGAATGATCGAAAAAGCATTTATTTGTCCAACCCACCACCAAATTAGATAACTTTCAGTAGGACGCTGATATACCGCTCAGCAAACAACCTAAGGGACCAGGGTTCGATTTCATCGGGGGTCGTGAAACATGGACAAACCCCCTTGCATTTTGTTGCCTTTGTTTTCCCAGAAGCAAAAAGGTACCTAGGTATTAGTCAGCTGTTTGGAGTCACACAAAGATGGTAGAGAGGACTCTGCTTTGATACGAGCAGAAATAGAATACTAATTCTGAGGTTGTACTTTAAACTGTGCAAAAAATCTTAAGAGGTAAATGCTGAATATTATGAAATTAATAAGTGAAGGAAGGTACGTGCCATCAAGATCCTTTCTGAACGTGACGGTGGTGCCAGCGAGAGTGGCAAGTGTGCGCTGCTGCAGGAGACCTTCAGAGTACCAGGCTCCCCTAATAGAGTGTCTGGCCAGTAGATCCCGTCTCAGTCCCGGTTCTGAGCAGTCCAGGCCATGAATAACCCTTGGACGTGATAGCGGAGTCCGGCGGTCCCAGCAGAGTGTACGTTCCTGTGTCAAGACATGTGTAGGAACATTAAGCCAGCAGACAAAAGTGGAGTGGAGTGACTGCATAAGAATAGTTGATAGATTAATGACTGGAAAAGTTCGAGTAGAAGGACATGATCAGTTCGATGATAGGTCAGGTAGTGATATAGATGATTTCAAATTCTGAGGCGGTGCAGATATGGACAAGATTTAAACTTCGTCACCACCATTAATGAGCCTGCAGTACTATCAGGGTATATATCGGTATTGCCTGCTTTTTCTTATTTAGGAGTTCTGGTCTAAGGCAAGTGTCGTTTTCTATCAAAATTAACCAGAATGCAAAATTTGTATGAGCCATAACATTGCCATAATTCAATCTGAGCATAAAGAAAATCAAATATATAATTATAATGTTCCTAGGCCGGAATATGGTAAATTAAACTGCCAATTAGCAAGAAACATTATAAAATTAAGTCCTTTCTAATATTTTCTTTGATCGTTTTAAAAATATATTTTCATTTATGTTAAAGTGAAAAATGAATTTTATGTACCAGAAACCTTAGCAAAAGTTCACTGACTTATTATAACAAGCAAATTTAACTTAGCATAAATCCAATTAAATATCATTATAGATAAGTTTACAATAATTCATATACTTACAAACAATGAAATATTTTTTTCGTATGGTTTAGAATGACTTTTAGTGAAATTATAATTATACACAAATTTTGCTTGCCCTATCCGCAAGTAAAATGCGTTGCTATTAAGCCAATCGCAAGTTTTACTTTATGCATATATATATATATATATATATATATATCATATATATATATTATTTATATATATAGTTAATATACTTATATATGAATTATATATAAAATATTGCTGCCCTATCATATATATCATATTATATATAAGCCATATAATGCATTATATATGCATCATATTTTATATATATATATATATATATATATATATATATATATATTTATATATATATATATATATATATATATATATATATATATATATTAACCTGAATATTTTCTTGGGTCAATACCCCCCGCAGTCCGGGCCCAGACAAGACCTATTGCTGGATCAAGGCTTCATGAATCAAGATGTTACTACTGGCTGCACACAGTCCAACATACTAACCACAGCAGACTCATCAGGAACTGACTAAGAATGTATCCAGTTCCCTTCTGAACATTGCAATTAGTCTACTGGTAATCCTCCGTATGTATGATGGGATGCTGTTGGACAGTCTTGGCACCTTCTCAGTGTACTTATGGTAGCCCTGCATGTTTTTTCATTTATTTATTTTGCACCGACGTAGGGTCATGATGTTGAGTTATGCTGCTGAGAACATACCGGTAATAAAACTTATGCTTAAGATTCCATATGCATAACATTGATTATAATACCCTAACGGTGCCTTTTTCCGGCCACACATGATGCTTGTCAGTATAATTATCATTATTATTACTATACTCAAGGGGAGGTACTAAGCCCGTAAAGATCATTTAGCGTCTTGGCAATGGGAGGTAATTAGTTTTGATCCATGAAAAGGAAGGGGTAACGATTCCTTGAATCAAGAGACCTACATCGGTATCAGAGCACACCCCTTCCCTTTTGAATGGAGTGGAGGATGGAGAAAAAACACCAGTACTTGCCTGACTGGACGAGGTCACTTGCGCTGAGCAGTGTGTTCACCCTAGAGTAGGAGTGTCCGCTTCCCACCAATACCGCCTGAATCTCCCCAACCGGCACCTCCAACACAGAGTCGACCACCTGAAGGCAGTGACACCAGGATTAGAGTTGTTACAGGTAGATAAGTGGGTGGGGAAGGTGTATTGAGTGAATAAGATGGTTACGTGGGTCATGGATGGGTGGGGGAGAGAGTTTGGAGGTTGTGGGAAAAAGGGAGGTGATTAAATGGGTTATTGTGATGAGTGGGTAAAAGAGAAAGGTACTCAAGTACATAAGAGCATAAGGACATAAGGAATACTGCAGTAGGCCTACTGGCCCATGAAGTGGTTGATAAGTGAAATTACTTAATGAAAAAAAATCATATGAAATTATCTTCTTTCTACAAATGGGGTGGAAAAAACTAGGTCTGCGTCAGGAGACACTTTCTTATTTCCTAACGAAAGCATCACAACCGAATTTCACTGTAACTGAAATCCAACATATATCTCACTTATTATGGCAAAAAAAAAATATTTATTCCAAATTACCCTTTTAAACCATACATGTAAAAAATAGATGTACGACAGCTTTTAAATAATTGTTTGGTATAATTATTGACCTAATTGTCATTTCCCAAGAACATTTTATTTTATTGGCACCGAGAGTAAACAATTTTTAATACCTGTAGCTTACAATGGGACGACTCTGCTATCAACTATGGAACGTTTAAAGGTTCGCTAAACTGCGAAAATTTAAAACGCAATAAAACCGCGAGGTTTTAGTGCATCTCAGTTTTCTTTTTTGCTGCTGTATTTTAAAATTCACTAGTCCTCAATATTGATTAAATCCATAGTCATAAATATTTAAATAAGTAGGAATATTCATAATTAGCTTCACCAATACAAACAGGAGATTCGTTGATGAAATCAATCACTAAAGGATTCGCAAGAAATTCAGAACGTGGTTTTAACTTTTTTAGTTTCTCAAAATTGTTTTCAAAAATAATTATAAAGAGTTTTTAAGTTTCGTTCGTATTGTTCCAATTTACCGTCTTTCAACATCAGGAAAAGCAGTTATTCAAAATTTATGATTGAGAAAGTGGTCAAATTTCTATGTTGTCAGATGTCTTTGAAAAAACTTTATTTTATTCTGAAAATTGATTGGGTAATTTCTGTAATAACTTTGTTCCTTCTTTGAAGTGCTATATTTAAAGATTGGATTTGTTGCATTACAACTGTTAAGAACATTAGATCCTGTAACTATTCGTGTTCTAGTTGTGGGTATTTCTTTTTCTTTTCTTTCATGAAAGCAATGATTGGTTCAGAAAGAGCAACAAACTCAATAAAAATATTTGTAGTTGATAGCCATCTTACAATACAGTAGAATAAAAGGGCACCTCAATAACATTTCTAAATTCACGGCTTCTTTTTTTTTTTTTTTGCACTTGTTCGAATGAAATTCACAATTTCTAAAACGCAATTCATGACATTCTTGAGCTTGAAGTGTTTACGTACTAAATGCTGAAGGTTGATGATACACTGGATAAAGCGGCATTCAGGATAGTTGAGATCATGTGTCAATTGCCCAACTAGGCTAGTATTTTGATCTACCACAGTTGGTGCTCCGACCCCCTCAAGGAAGGTTCCTTGATGCTGGTGAGGGGATCTTGATTGAGGGAATTGGATCTATGCTCCACTTCCCTGAATTACGCCTGAATACCTTCCACATCACCCCCCTCAACATGCGCTGTATAATTCAACGAGTTTAGCGCTTCCCCTTGATTATAATAATGGTGCTCCGACTGTTGCAATACCAACAAGTTTATGTAATGGTAGTTGAGAATTTAATAAATCTTTGTTAAGTGCATTTTTTGATACCAATACCTTTCGTGGTTTCCTTTAAGCATATCAGGTCTTTAAATTCTTCTTGTACATTTCCATCGTTTGTAACATAGTGAACAAATATAGCTAAATGAGGGATATCTTGAATGTCTGTAGATTCATTCAGAGCTACGCTGAAAGCAACGCAGCTTTTCAGATCACTCTGCAGTGAACATACGATTGTAGAACTAATATCAGAAATGTGTCTCTCAGTCGTCCGGCGGCAGATAGGAATTTGTTTTATTGCTTGTTTAAATTTTGAGTTATCTGGAGCGAGAACTGCAATCACATCACTAATATTCTTGTTTACATATTCTCCATGAATGTAAGGTCAGGGAGGTCAGTAGCCAAATGTAAGGTCAGGGAGGTCAGTAGCCAAATGTAAGGTCAGGGAGGTCAGTAGCCAAATGTAAGGTCAGGAGGTCAGTAGCCAAATGTAAGGTCAGGGAGGTCAGTAGCCAAATGTAAGGTCAGGGAGGTCAGCCAAATGTAAGGTCAGGGAGGTCAGTAGCCAAATGTAAGGTCAGGGAGGTCAGTAGCCAAATGTAAGGTCAGGGAGGTCAGTAGCCAAATGTAAGGTCAGGGAGGTCAGTAGCTAAATGTAAGGTCAGGGAGGTCAGTAGCCAAATGTAAGGTCAGGATGTCAGTAGCCAAATTACTTTGCTTACAGAGGAAAAATAGGCTATTTTGCTAAGTGGCTAAATTGGATTTCAAAAAAAAAATCTTATTTTTTCGCAGTTCTGATCCAGGAGTAAATTCAGATGCAAATTTAATATGGTTACATTCAAGGTGACGCTTTAAATTACTGACTTCAAAGTGGCTGATGGTTGTAAGACAGATAAGGCACACTGCCTTTTCACCCTTAACAGTAAAAGCAAAATCGTCATCCCATTGTTGGTTTAACACACTTTTTTCTTTGTATTTCCGTTTTAAACTCTTCTGTTGCTCGGTCATTTTTAACAAGAGTTTTAAAGCTTTAAATAAAATCAATCTTAAGTATTTATTAAACAGAAAAGTATTTATCGACACTGCACTGCACTAGTTATGTTCCACTACCGTCCCAAGAGCGTAACCTGTGTGCAGTGCATGGAGAGTGTGCAGAGTGCATCATCCGTACTTCTTTAAAACATGTTTTCATTATGTTCAGCGAGTTTAAACAGCAGTCTGGGCACATAATGCATATGATATTTGTAAAAATTATGTGAATTACCCGTATGTGTTTATATATATATATATATATATATATATATATATATATATATATATATATATATATATATATATATGCAATAAGATCACAGTAAACAGGTGATTTTAGAATATGTAAAACATTCACTGTGAAGGAATAGAGAAATTCCAAGCGCTTTCGTGACTACTCACATTATCAAGGAACAATGAAAGTAATACATCAAAGGAAGGCAATAAAAGGGTTTAGACCACACCTCACAGTCAACCCCCACAACAAAGAAACGCCTGACGCGGGACAATACCGGACTCATAAAAAAAGAGGAACACTGCAGTAGGTCCGCTGGTCCAACTAGACAGGTCCTCACGACAACCCACCAACAAATCTTTCTACCCAAGAAATAAGGTTTATTTTTTGTCCAATGTATTATTAAACTCTAACCAAATTTTATTAATTATAAATGAATCTAATTTATACAAACCTAAGGAAATATTCATATTATTTTCAAAACTGCTTTTTATGAAACAAGATTCAATTATATTTGTCAACCATGGCCGTGCTCGATACTACTTTCTCAACTTTTTGAAAATCAATTGAATGGTTAAAGTCTCTCACATGAATAAATAGAGCATTGGAATCTTGTCCAGTTCTAATGCTATATTCATGTTTTAATCTTAGTTCGAGACTTTTACCAGTTTGACCGTAATAAACTTTATCGCAAATCTTACAAGGAATCTTAGACACATCCGTCAGCATTTTGGGGTGAATTCTTTATAAAAAGTTTTTTTACTGTATCAAGATTTTTAAATACAACTTTAATATTAAAAGTCTTAAGAAGAGAAGGCATGGAAATAAATGGTATAAAATACCGACACAATGGAAATATAAACACATATGCAGTATAATGTGATCCTTTATTGACTACGTTTCGCCCACACAGTGGGCTTTTTCAAATCACAAACAGATCTACCTGGGGTCCCTTCCACCCCAGGTAGATCTGTTTGTGACTTGAAAAAGCCCACTGTGTGGGCGAAACGTAGTCAATAAAGGATCACATTATACTGCATATGTGTTTATATTTCCAAGAGAAGGCATATCAACCAAGTTTTCATGGTAAGGGAGAACCAACATATTTTTAGCTGAATAAGGTTGGTTGCCCCTTTTGGGTTGTAAAAAGTATTTCTAGCAATTTTAAATGATTTATCAATTACATTTCTCGGGTATTTCGGATCAATGGCTATTTCATAAATTTTGGATATTTCTTCATCTATGAACTCTGGACTACAAATACGTAAAGCTCTCAAAAACATTGATGAGAAAACAGACAGTTTAACTTTATCTTGATGGGAAGAATAATAGTGGACATAGGAACAGTTATTTGTAGGTTTTCTGTAAATTTTAAATTTGAATTCATTATTACTCTTAATAATTAAAACATCTAGAAAAGGCAATGAGTTATTTTCCTCAAACTCGACAGTAAAGTTTATAGAATGGGCTAAGCTATTTAATTTGCCAAGGAAATGTGAGTAGTCACGAAAGCGCTTGGAATTTCACTACTCTTTCACAGTGGTTGTTTTGTATATATATATATATATATATTTATATATATATATATATATATATATATATATATATATATATATATATATATATATATATAATCCTGTATTGGTACGTTCTATACGACTATAGTAATATAAAATTTAAAGAAAAATAGTAATGAAACCCAATTTTGTCTCGGGAGCAGCACAGAGTAGCTGCGGGACTCTCGTATGCCTTGAAGAGGGAATTTAACAGATCCCAATAAAAGCGTGTTCTCTGCAGTGCTTTTTTTTTCTTCGCTATTATTTAGAGTGTGTTATTTTGATCCAGGTCTATAATTGATCGTTTAAAAATGATTGCTGCTTATAGCTTGAAAAAATGGAATCAGAATTATTTATGTGGTGTTGGTTGTGGTGGTAGTGGTAGTTGTACATAAGAACATAAGAAAGGAGGAACACTGCAGCAGGCCTGTTGGCCCATACTAGGCAGGTCCTTTACAATTCATCCCACTAACAAACATTTGACCTACCCAATTTTCAATGCTACCCAAGAAATAAGCTCTGATGTGCAAGTCCCACTCAAATCCAACCCATCCCACTCATGTATTTATCCAACCTAAATTTGAAACTACCCAAAGTCCTAGCCTCAATAACCCAACTAGGTAGACTGTTCCACTCATCTACTACCCTATTTCCAAACCAATACTTACCTATGTCCTTTCTAAATCTAAACTTATCTAATTTAAATCCATTACTGCGGGTTCTCTCTTGGAGAGATATCCTCAAGACCTTGTTAATATCCCCTTTATTAATACCTATCTTCCACTTATACACTTCGATCAGGTCTCCCCTCATTCTTCGTCTAACAAGTGAATGTAACTTAAGAGTCTTCAATCTTTCTTCATAGTGGTGGAGATGGTAGTGGTAGTTCGGTGGTGGTGGTTGAGGTGGTGATCGGTGGTTGTGATGGTAGTGGTGGTGGTTGTGATGATGGTGGTGGTGGTTGTAGTGTTGGTAGTGGTTGTAGTTAGGTGGTGGTGGTTGTAGTGATGGTTCGGTAGTGGTGGCGGTGGCTCGGTGGTGGTGGTGGTGGTAGGAGTGGTGGTGGTGAGGAACGTGATGGGCGTGGTAGGGGTGGTGGTGGTGAGTGACGTAGTGGGGGTGGTGGTGGTGCTGGCGGCGGTTGTGGTGGTGGTAGTAGGGGTGGTAGTGGTGCTGGCTGCGATGGTGGTGGTAGTGGTGGTGGCTGTAGTGGTAATGGTGGGGTGGTGAGGGAGGTGATGGTGGTGTTGGTGGTGATAGTGTTAAGTTTGATGTAGTGGTGGTGGTAGTGATTATAGTGATGGTTGTGGTTTTGGTGGTAATGTTAGTGGTAGCACTGAGGGTTGGTGTTTCCAGTAATAGTATATGTATTTGTTAAGAAGCAGAAATATATTACTGACCCGCTGAGTGAAGCTACCACTGTGGTATGGGCTCTGGGTATCAGTGTCAAGGCATCCGCTGGCCTACCAGTGCACAGGTCTATGAACTGTTAAGCATGTGCACGGGTATCCCCTCCACATCCTGGCCCTCGGGAGAAACCTCGCCTACTCAACATGATACTCAGGTAGTGTTTGGTATGCAGCGGTCGACCCCCCCCCCCACGAGCCAATAACTCTGAGAGCAGGGGGTATCCCTACTCAAGTGATTCAGCATAAAAACATAAGGAAGAAGGAACACTGCACCAGGCCTACTGGCCCATGCGAGGCAGATCCAAGTCTCCTACCGGCTTAAGTCAATGACCCAACCTAGTCAGGTCAGGTCACATCCACTTAAGGAAGAAGCACAGCATCAGGCCTATTAGCACAAGCTAGTCAGGTCCAACTCACACGCACCCACACCCACTCATGTATTTATCTAACCTATTTTTAAAACTACACAACGTTTTAGCTTCTATTACGGTACTTGGGAGTTTGTTCCACTATATCCTTCCTGAATCTGAATTTTTCCAACTTAAACCATTGCTGCGAGTCCTGTCTTGCCTAGATATTTTAAGCATGCTATTTACATCCCCTTTATTTATTCCTGTTTTTCATTCATACACCTCAGTCACATCCCCCCTTAATTCTATGCCTTTCTAGGACCCTCAGTCTGCCCTCATAGTGAAGATTTCTGATACATGGGATCAACTTTGTCATTCTCCTTTGTACGTTTTCCATAGCATTTACATTCGTTCTGTAATACGGTGACCAAAACTGTGCAGCATAATCTAAATGAGGGCTTACCAAGGATATACAGAGTTGAAAAACAACCTGAGGACTCTTATTATTTATGCTTCTTGATATGAAGCCAAGGATTGTGTTCGCTTTATTGCGAACACTTACGCACAGTTTTCTTGGTTTTAGATTACTGCAAACTACAACTCCCAAATCCTTTTCACACAGAGGGAATTTATTTCGACTAGAACGTTTTCCCATTGCTTCATCACATTAAATTAAAAAACAACAATAATAAAAATAATAGTAATAATTACTTAGAAGAGACTTTCAAGGGGTCAAAAAACATTCTGCCACATACAGAATTTTCCCAAACAAATATAGGCAAAGTGTAACTTCCTGAACGTTACATTGGCGAGGACTTGCTTAAATAATTATGTCCTATGACAGCCTTGATTGGAAATAAAGGCCTATGAATGACCGATAATTTTCTCTACCTCTTCGAGAGAATATATACATGGGGATTTATATAGTGTATTACTGCTTATAAGGCTCGGAGTTTATTGTAATCTATATTTTACAAACTAAAATATCTTTGACTGGAGCATACAAGTGATACGCAGCCTTAATAAGCTTCGTGTAATAAAAAAAATAAAAGCGATTTTCCTACTCTCACTCGATAAGACTTTTCAACTTTGTAGTTTGTCATTGTCGGATAGTTATACGTAAATAGAGGTTAAAAATATAATTAATCTAAACTTCAGCAACCCTAACTTAGCCTAACAACCCTAACTTAACTCAAGAAATCGTAATGACACGATTGCAAACAAACCATACCCCCGGCCGGGATTGAACCCGCGGTCATAGAGTCTCAACCCCGGCCCGGGGGGGGTATGGTTTGTTTGCAATCGTGTCATTACGATTTCTTGAGTCATGTTGACGGCAGTGAAGGGACTTGAGCTAGAGTTCGTCACGGCCACGCTAGCTGGAGATTCGTCTGTAAAAACTTGCATTTGTGGTCACAGAGGTGCCTGTGCTAACCTTCCTATGGTGTAGAAATATACCTAGTTGGATGAATCTTATTGTGGCTAGCTGGTCTAGTGACTAACGCGACGGGCTGGAGTTTTGAGACTCTATGACCGCGGGTTCAATCCCGGCCGGGGGTATGGTTTGGTTAACCCTAACTTAGCCTAACTATCCTATTAAAGAACAAAAATTTTATAAATATTTCGAAGTTTTATAGAAATACATGAAAGGCAGTTCGGACGAAGATACTTTAATTAGAAAACAATTTGTAAATTGCAGGAACTCAAAACCTTATTACATTAATTCTGAACTTAAACTTTCACGAGCTATCATTATTTCTAAAGATCTATAAGTTATAAATACAACAACGGTATATAATAATGACAAGTAGATAAGTAAGACACATGAGAAACAGTTAGGCATCTTTATTCCGAAACTATTCGCCTACACAGTAGGCATCTTTAAGCGAATACAGAGCGGACGCAGTGAGATGCTCCATAGTCTGGAACAATGTGAAGCTCAAGAATGAGAATGAAGACTTATAAAGTGGCCCGGTGGCCTGGTGGCTAAAGCTCCCGCTTCACACACGGAGGGCCCGGGTTCGATTCCCGGCGGGTGGAAACATTTCGACACGTTTCCTTACACCTGTTGTCCTGTTCACCTAGCAGCAAATAGGTACCTGGGTGTTAGTCGACTGGTGTGGGTCGCATCCTGGGGGACAAGATTGAGGACCCCAATGGAAATAAGTTAGACAGTCCTCGATGACGCACTGACTTTCTTGGGTTATCCTGGGTGGCTAACCCTCCGGGGTTAAAAATCCGAACGAAATCCTATCTTATCTTACTGGCATAGGTGAGGCGTATAAAATCTTGAAGACGACAGCAGAGGAAGGGACAACTAGTAAAAGCAAATATGTAATAATTGAGAGGCAGTGTAGCAAGCCTAGGTAGGTCCCTCTCAAATCTAACCTTCCTCACTCGTAACTAGTGGTCAGGCAATAAAGTTGTCGAAAATGTCCTCTGTACCATATCGTCTGTCTGACGGTTTGAATATAACAACAGTATGTAATAATGACACTGCAACACAACAATTAAATTTCAGAGGGACCCAGACAAGGTTTCTGCACTGCCTCTCTATTATTACCTTCTTACTTCTACTAGTGAGCTCCGCCTCTTCAATTGCCTTCAAGATTTTCTGTCTCACCTTTGCCAGTACATAAATCTTCATTCTCGTGCATCAGCATCACAATGCTCCAGACTATGGAGCAGAATCCGTTGCCAGGCTGAGGGACTGACCACCTCAAATTTAATTCTACGAGAATGATTTACTGATTATAAGAGTACAGTCCCTACATCTCCGCTGCTTCCGCTGCGTCCTCTGTATTCGACGGAAGAAGCCTACTGTGTAGGCGAACGTTTCGGAATAAAAATACCTAAATGTTGCACATGTGTCTTACTTACCTGTAAGTTATGATCACTGAACACAAAGATAACCTTTCTAAATATACGAATATTACTTATTAGAATTAAGGAAGTAGTAATATTACAGAACACTGTGACCTAAGACATCTTTCAGCAAATAAATTATATACAGAAATACACAGACAATCACAAATTAAAAACTTAATACAAAAAATAAAACTCCCACTCTAACACAAAAAAATAGTTACTATCATACACATTAAATATACCATCTGTTAGGTTCCTAACTACCTGCGTCATTAATTCCTGACATCCCACAATAGTCTTTACCAACAGACTCTTCCTTGTTGACTGAGTTAAATGACTTAGCATATTCATGAGTTGTTCTTGCTTATTTATTTGCTTCATAATTTCTATCTGTGCTTTTTAACTTGACACAACTAATTTTGTAATATTAGTAGAAACATTCATTCTATATAGATTATTATATTCAGAAACTAGCACTAAAGCCGTATGGGTCATACAGCTAAAAGTTTCATTATAAACTGTACTCGGGCTGCCACTGCAGAGGAGGCAGTGTTTGCCTCAGGATATTACACACTATAATTTTCATTTTTTTTTTAAATGGACACTTTTCTTGATGAGTGGGCGTTGCTCTCACCTGGATGGTGCCGTGAGAGAAGGGTAGGTCGCCCCTCGATACTGCCACACCGTTGACGAACACAGAGTTGCCGTACACATTAAATCTGAGCTCGGGACCTAGCAGAGTTTTGAAAGTCGAATCATTTGTAACTTCCGGTGCAGGTTGACCTCGAAGGGGAATGAGGTGGTAAGCAAGGTCATTCCCACGAGATAATTGACGAAGCTCCTTACGAGTCAGCTGGGAGAATGCGGCCTCCGATGGTGCTAGCACAATGTAAGGGCCTTTTTCTGTAAAACAAAAAAAAATGGAAATGAACGCGGCAGATTTAGAGTGCTAATACATACGGTACTAATGTAATTTCTGCGTGAAGCAATTGTTACAAAAGAATGCAGATGTCAGTGCCGCTTACCTGCCTCTTGCCACATTCCTCTCCTGGAGGGAAGGGGGTGATGTGTTGGGCATTGTCAGGAAGTTACTTAGCTACCCATCTCCTTGACAAGCGTAAACGTTCACGCTGCAGTGTTCCTCATTCTGATGTTCTGTTACATGTCTTCATTTGTGGGACCACAGTTTGAACGTAACGTAATTATTTGTTTATTCCTCTTACTCATTTTTATAGCCTTCAGCTAAGGAGTGAGTGAACCACTTGTAACGTTGGTAACCGCTGTGTGAACTTATCTTCCGTAGCGTGTTTGTTTTGACAGGGCTATCCAGACTACGAGGGATCACATAGGCTGCAGGATTTGTCAGAAAGTCGTGAATTTAATCTATCGTGCCTTTACCTTCATAATTTGTGGACAAGCTACTATGTACATGTGGGTCTGAGTCCTGTGAGCTGTCCCTGTATTCCCTCGTCACATTCGAGACTTCTGACAACTTGATTCACTGCTTCATTTCACGGTTTACTCCAGCGTACATGTTCAACTACTTCATACCTTGCTGATTGCTGCACACCTCTATTTAACAGTTCTTACATTTCATTTCACCGGTGTTTGCTTACGGTGTGTCTGACAGGGACCAACTGCTACATTTTGAAAGAGTTATGCATGTAACCATCCACAACTCTGCATCAGAGCAGGTTTGTAATGTCACGAGTGGAGTCATACTTATTGCCGCTCATGTATGTTTACCTATCTTAGATTTAGTTCACTTTCAGAATTTATGTTTTACCTTTTCACTGTTTTGAGTTGGTTAGAAAATACTTCATGTTTGTGTGTTTATTATTAAATAAATCGTTTTGAATTTAGTGTCGTTTTCAGTTTCTCCACATTGCTTATATTTACGAGTTATTCACATTGTTTTTTCCTTGTTTACTTTTCTTAAGAGTTGTGACGGGCTCTCCGAGGTGTTGAGGAAGATCCATTCTTTACAGTTTGCACTTATATATTTTTCAGTGAGATTTGTTTTCATGATGCAAATGGATAACTGAGCCCCATTACTGATGGAAGATCGGATTCTAGAGGAAATCCAGTCCCTGGGCCCATTATGTACCACTGTAATCTTTTGACTACCGCCCACAGGATGGGAATGGGGTGTATAATAAACATATTAAAATAACTAAGACTATACCACTAACAACTAAATTCCGGTTTAATGACAACCGCAATCCTCAAGGACCAGAGTAATCATTCATTTCATTTGTAAAAAATCTGTAGGGATAATGGTTACTAAAAATCTTTAGGTTGGCCAGTACAGACATCCGAAATCGGATGTTATCTTGGGAAATAAACAATGGCGTTAAACACTACAAACGATATCACAGAGGAGACATGTTTTTAACATAAAATGTGAATGAAACCAACAGTTATAACAATCATGAAGTCTTAACAGTTATCATCAGATATTAAGTAGAAGAGACTAACCTCCCGAGATGAGGAAGTTGAGGAGTCCTGAAGTTTCCAGGAGGACAAGCAGAGTGGTGAGTCCTTCCCGCTGGAGGGTGGATACCACGCTCTCCTCGGGGCTGCCACTCAACTTGTACACGGTGGCAAATCTATCTATCGAGGTGAGTGGATCGAGGGGTGGGTTGTAGCGCACCATGCTGATGGTGAGTCGTGGTATTATATAAACATGGTATCAATGTAGGTTTATCTATAACAAGAATCAGTAAAGACTTCCCCGGTTCATGGAGTCTTATTAAAAAGAGATTATTACTACTATATTATTTATGCAGCGTTAAATGTGTGTGTTATTGAGTGTAGAGAGAGTGGTTGAGACTTAGTCCTCCAGCCAATGATGACGAGACAGAAACACTACTTAGTGCCAGTCTTATCCTAGTATTAAGAAGAAATTGTGACGAACATTCTAGAACCTGCAACAGTATTTGTGGTATTGGTTGAGCGCTGTATGACCCATAAGGGTTTATCGCTTCGTTATGATAAAAACAATCATTGGTTACACCAGGTAGGTAGACACCACAATCCCTATTGATTCTTTTTCGATATTTGCTCTATTTTAAGATAAAATTTCTGTTGGAAGTTTTCATTGTAAGTATCCTAACTGTATTACGATTTATGGAAACCCATTATTTATACACCACCCAAGGAACTTGAAAAACAAAAGTTAATTAAGAAAAAGACGTTAAAATAATATAGTTGTATCTTCGTAGACGAGTAATACATTAGTTTTCATTTTATGGTTTCATGGCCAATTAATCACAGGTAATGGAATGCAGTCAAGTGTAAACAGGGCATCATGTGTGTGTGTTCGAACAATGTGTCCACCCTCTGGCAAGAATCCTACTTCTTTACGCTTGCATTAGTCTCGGCTTAACCCGTAGAAGAGTGAGCCACCAACAACTTGCAGTCAACGACCCGCAGAAAAGTTTAGCCCTTTATATACGTGTTAATAAGAAACCCGCAGCACTGATACACATGGAGACTGAAGCGAGGATTTTTACTTAATTCATCAGTCGTGACTAGCTTCACTGTTGCCTTAAATCACATTTTTAACATAACTCGGCCTCACACGCCTGTCAATACAAGCTGAAATTTCACATACCTGTGAACGTAAGTTCACAGATTATGAGTTGAGTATTAAACGGGGTAATAATAAAAAAAATAATTATAAATAATATTAGTAAAAATAATTATAATTAATAATAATCATTAAAATAATTAAAAATATCATTAAAAACATAATTATTATAATAAAACCTCATGAAAATCTTAATAAAAATATTACAAATATATGCAATAGTGCTGTTTGAAAATATTATAACATTATTATTGATCATAATTCCACTAACAGAAACAAAGAACAATATTAATATTAATATAGATTAGTTTGGCCTTCAGTGTACATATTTATATATATCAACTTTGGTTTAAAAAGACACGTAAGCAAACACTATAACATATTTATTAGAAAACGTTTCGGTCCTGGGACCTTGATCAAGGTCCCAGGACCGAAACGTTTTCTAATAAATATGTTATAGTGTTTGCTTACGTGTCTTTTTAAACCAACTTGTCGGTATTTATTACCAAGGTTTATACCATATATCAACTTTAAACACGGTGTGAAGGCAGGCGGTGGTAGTGGTGGTGTGTTTGTCAGGAAACATGACGGTGTCTGTAGACAGATTTTAGCCAGGCGACTCGTAACGTGGTTAAAACATCACATCAAACATACGTTGTTATCCATTCAATAAATCGAAATGAAGAATTAGATACATGTGCAACATCTGGGTATATTTGTAGACGTTGCTTCGGCATGTAGGCTGAGGGACTGATTACCTAATCTTTAGTACATAAGAACATAAGAACATAAGAACGATGGAACACTGCAGAAGGCCTACTGGCCCATGCGAGGCACGTCCAAGTCTCCTACCGGCTTAAGCCAATGCACCCAACCTAGTCAGGTCAGGTCACATTGACTTAAGGGAGGAACACGGCAACCGACCTGGTAGCACAAGCTATCAGGTCTAACTCACACCCACCCACATCTACTCATGTATTTATCCAACCTATTTTTAAAGCTACACAACGTTCTGGCCTCTATAACGGTACTTGGGAGTTTGTTCCACTCATCCACAACTCTATTACCAAACCAGTACTTTCCTATATCCTTCCTGAATCTGAATTTTTCCAACTTAAAACCATTGCTGCGAGTCCTGTCTAGGCTAGATATTTTCAGCACACTATTTACATCCCCTTTATTTATTCTGTCTTCCATTTATACACCTCAACATATCCCCCCTAATTCTACGTCTTTCTAGAGAGTGCAGTTTCAGGGTCCTTAGTCATCCTCATAGGGAAGGTTTCTGATACATGGGATCAACTTTGTCATCCTCCTTTGTACATTTTCCAGAGAATTTATATCCATTCTGTAATACGGTGACCAAAACTGTGCAGCATAATCTAAATGAGGCCTAACCAAGGATGTATAGAGTTGAAGAACAACCTGAGGACTCCTATTATTTATGCTTCTTGATATGAAGCCAAGGATTCTATTAGCTTTATTGCGAACACTTATGCACTGTTCTTGGTTTCAGATTACTGCTAACCAGAACTAAATCTTTTACGCAATCCGTAATATTAAGATCTATATTATTTAGTTTATATGTGGCATGGTTATTGTCCTGTCCAACATTTAGAACTTTGCATTTGTCTATATTAAACTGCAACTGCCACATTCTCCGACCACTGCATCAGTCTATTCAAATCTTCCTGGAGTGCTCGAAAGTCCTCGTCAGAATGAATTCGACGGCCTATTTTGGGTCATCGGGAAACTTGCCGATGTCGCTCTTTATGCCCTCATTTTATGTCGTTTATGTAGATTGTGAACAGAGGGGGGCCCCAACACTGACCCCTGTGGAACACCGCTCGTGACGCTTCCCCACTCTGATTTCTCCCCAATTATGCAAACTCTCTGCTGGCCTATTTGTCAACCATGCCTCTATCCAGGAAAAAATCTTCCTCCTATTCCTGTGCTTTAATTTTCTCAATAGTCTCTGATGTGGGACCCTGTCAAAAGCCTTAATGAAAATCCTATACACAATATCAAATTCATTACCATGATCTACCTCCTCAAATACCTTAGTGAAAAAGTTAATAAATTTGTAAGGCAGGAACGCCCCTTTGTAAACCATGCTGAGATTCGTTGATTAATTTATGCTTTTCAAGGTGGCTACGAACTGCCTCGGCAATTATTTATTCCATAAATTTTTCCCACTATGGAGGTTAGGCTTATTGGTCTAAAATTCGAAGCTAAGGACCTGTCACCTTTTTTGAAAATAGGTATCACATTTGCCATTTTCCACTTATCTGGCACCATGCCAGTTTGTAGTGATATGTTGAAAATATTAGCCAAAGGAGTGCTAAGCTCCTCTTTACATTCCTTTAGAACCCTTGCATACAGTTCATCAGGGCCTGGAGATTTGTTAGGTTTTAATTTATCTATTTGCCTAAGGACCAGTCACTTGTGACCCTAATAGTGCACAGTTTATTATCGTCCTGTTCTACATAATTTATCATTACTGGAATATCGCTGGTATCCTCCTGTGTAAAAACTGAGAGGAAGTATGTGTTAAAAAGTCTACACATTTCCTTATCACTGTCAGTGAGCTGACCCGAGGAACTTTTGAGGTGGGCCTATCTTGTCCCTGATCTTACTTCTGTATACCTGAAAGAATCCTTTTGGGTTAGTCTTCGATTCTCTTGCACTTTAACCTCATAATCTCTTTTTGCTTTTCTAATTCCCTTTTTTATTTCTCTCTTTAACTGAATATATCGATTTCTCAATTGCCCCTCTCCTCTTTTGATTTGCCTATTTATGCCTCTCTTTTGACCAATCAGATATTTTAATCTATTGTTCATCCATTTAGGATCATTTTTGTTTGATCTGATTTCCCTATTTGGAACATAATTTGACTGAGCAGCTAGAACTATGCCCTGGAAAGCATCATATCGGCAACCATCACCACCTACCTGACCCTTAGTCAGGTCATTCCAGTTCAGCCCACCTAAGTAATTTTTCAGTCCTATGAAATCAGCCAAGCGAAGTCAGGGACGGAGACTTGATTGCCATTATTAGGGGAATTCCATGATATATTAAAACTGAGTGATTTGTGATCACTTTCCTCAAGCTATCATTAACCTCAAGATTATTAATTAGTGTTTCCCTACTGGCAAGAACCAAGTCAAGGAGGTTATTTCCCCTAGTTGGCTCGTCACAACTGTTTTAAAAAACAATCCTGGATCGTATCAAGAAAGTCACCTGACTCTAAATTTCCTGTCAAATTGCTCCAGTCAATCTGTCTATAGTTGAAATCTCCCATTAGCACAACATTTTCGTATGTAGATGCCTTACGAATTTCGTCCCATAGAAGTTTACTGCACTCCTATCAATATTTGGGGCCCTGTAATCACACCCAAAATTAGTTTTTCTCGGCCCTCGAGAAGCTGTAACCAAACAGATTCAGTGGCTGACGCTTCTAATTTAATATCTTGTCTAACACAACAATTTAAATTGTCTCTGACATACATCGCTACTCCCACCTTTCCTGTTGACCCTGTCAATGTGGAATAATTTATAGCCTTGTATGTGACATTCAGAGGGCATCTCTCTATCTTTCAGATTGAGCCAGGTCTCTGTTATAGCAATAATATCTATGTTTCCTGCACTTGCAATTAATCTTAGCTCATCTATCTTATTTCTTACACTCCTGCTATTAGTATAGTAAACCTTCAGGGAGCTAGTCCCTTGCTGCCCTCTGCCCTTTGTTTGCTGACCTGATCTATTGTCTTTATTGATAACTTCATGCTGAATGCCCTTTTTTACATTTTTCTGTTTCCAACCCCGTGTTGCAACCTGCTTGTTTCCCACACACACCCATACCTTTCTTCCTTCAGTTTAAATCATAGGCATTTCACCAATGGCCTTCTCAACGAGTCTGCAAGTGCTAAACCCCCCCAGCCCAGAGAGATGTACCCCATCCCTTGCATACATATCATGTTTGCCATAAAAGTTGTTCCAGTTGTCAATGAATGGGATTGCAAGTTCCTTGCAGTATCTGTCAGCCAGCAATTTACACAATTCCCCTAGACAACCATTCATTTCCTACTCCCTTCTAGGCAAGATGTTTACATATGATTGGGACCCTCCCTTAAAACTTAATGAAATCTATAGCTGACCTGTACTTATCTAGCAGCTCTTCTCTCCTACCCTTCCCAATATCATTTCCACCAGCACTGAGACAGATAATGGGCTTTTTCCCCATTACCTGACATGATATTATCCGCTGTTGACAATGTCCCCAACACCACTCAGGGAAGGGGCACACTCTATCTCTCATCTTCTTATTCCTATTACAAAAAGCACGGTAAATTATATCTTACCTGAGAATCACCAACCACAAGAATGCGCTTACCTCCATTAGCAGGGGCAGTAGTACCCTTACCTTCACTGGCCACTGAAGTACATTCATCCTGAAGAACAGAGAAGCGATTTCCTACCTTCAGATCTTCACTCTTAACTTTCCTTACTCTGATGCGCCTTCCTTTACTGTGAACCACTCGCCACTTGTAGCAGGTGCTGGACTGCACCTCACTGCTGGTAGCCGTTGCTACCTCCCCAACTACAGCCTCCTCACAGCGAGAGACAGACTGCACCTCACTGCTAGAAGCCTCATTCCCCACAACTTCTGACACTGGGCAATGAGTATTGATATGTCTGGGGCATTTCGTGCCTTTTGCCTCATTCGAGTAAGGACACTTCCTCTGAAAGAATTTACTTCAACTCCACCCTCTTTTCGGCAACACTGCAAGCTCCCGATATGTTGATTGCAACATGAGAGGCCTAGAGCTATTATTCAACTCCCTATGTGGTTGTTTTCCATCTCGTATCGCGTATTCGCGATTTTTTAATTATATATATATATATATATATATATATATATATATATATATATATATATATATATATATATATATATATATATAGACAGGGAGACAGACAGACAGATACATTTATATACACTTTCATTAAAATTTCATTGTGAGTTGTGATTTCTTACCTTGCATGAAACCGTGAGAAGCGATGTTCTCGTGACTCGTTATATGAGTTGAATGTAGAGGTATTGAGCTTGAAGCCTCTGGGTAAGGTCAGATCACCGGCCCCGCGGCGCAATACGGGATCAAAGTCACCCAATCCCTTCAGTCCTGGAAACTGCAGCTGACGTCTCACACGGTTCTGAAATAAGCAGAATAGGAGAATAGCAATGTGGTGAGATGTTGCTGAAGTCTCGTTATTTTAACAAAATTCGGTGTTCTATATAAATGAGAAAACGTGAGAAAGACAGTGTTTTGAGCTTTTCATTTTTGTTAGAGGAACGGTGCCTTTTTGACTTTGATCATTTTTACGGAACAGTTAAAAAATATAATATTTGGCTGTAGAATAATTTTATTTAATGTAACAGCAACAAGAAAGACTCATAAAACAACACACTGTTCTAGAAAAACGTGCATCAGTTAACGGATTACAGATCATGCAAATGTAATTTTCAACTTAGAAGCATTGGCTTTTCGCCATTTACTGTGTTTTCTTACTCACAGAGACCTCAAGATTAAATACTGCTTGGCCACAATTTTACCGTTAATTTGCATTACCAATCTTAACCAACCCTCATCTAGCCAAATCAAATCAACGTAATCTAACCTAAAGGGAAAATTATTTCTCCATGTCAGTAGAGTACATTCCCTATTCACTTCCTTGAGGAGGGAAGAAGGTAGGTAGGTTCAAGGAGATATTTAACGGCTCTACTAGACGTGTCTGAGAGGTTTTTGTAACAGTCAACTTTTCAGGCTGTGAGCGGAGGGAGTACCAATAGCCATCAGTTGACTCTCAACAATGTACATTGCAAGATAAGAGCGTGAGACCGAGTTAATCTCAAACATAACCTACCATAACCTATGATAATATAACCTAACCTAACTAAGCCTAACCTAATCTACTTAATCTAACCATATATATATATATATATATATATATATATATATATATATATATATATATATATATATATATATATATATATATATATATATATATATATATTTATATTTCTTTCTTTCAACACACCGGCCGTATCCCACCGAGGCGGGGTGGCCCAAAAGGAGAAACGAAAGTTTCTCCTTGTACTTTTAGTAATATATACAGGAGAAGGAGTTACTACCCCTTTGATCCCGGCATTTTAGTCGCCTCTTACAACACGCATGGTTTAAACGGAGGAAGAATTCTGTTCCACTTCCCCATGGAGAATATATAAAATTATATAATATATATATATATATATATATATATATATATATATAAATATATATATATATATATATATATATATATATATATATATATGGTTTAGAAAGAAAACGTAAGCAAACACTATAACATATTTATTAGAAACGTTTCGGTCCTGGGACCTTGATCACTTCTAACATACAGAGGTAGAAAGACATTATATATATAGGCGGAGGGGTGGATGTGACGCACGGGGACCTGAGGAATGTCATAAGAAAAAATAAGAATGGAGGAACACTGTAGAAGGCCTACTGGCCCATGCGAGGCAGGGTCCTTACCAAAACAACCTCTACCTATGATGAGGACGGGTAGACGATGAAATCATGTGACTCCTGTGTTGTTGGGTTGGTGCTGCTTAAGTATCATGTATGCCAATGTTTTTGAAATTTTGTAGTTTCCAGTGTTGCGTTCTATAGTGTCGGTGACGGTGTTTTAGTGAGGCTTCTAGGCACCGTCGGCGTCTGAGGGGTCTGGTTCGGTGAGAACGGTTGTGCCTCGTTCCAGTTCATCAAATCCCCCGTGGAGTCTCTGTGGAGGACACAGGCGTACCTTACATCGTCTCTGTTAGAGGCTTTTCGATGCTCATTCAGGCGGACTGCAAGATCTCTGCCTGTCTCGCCTACATTTTTTCTTGGGACAGAACCCACAAGGGATAGTGTAGACGCCTGCTGTAGAAGTTAGAGGTGTGGGGGTGCTTTTCGTAGTGAGGTCTTTGATAGATGATGTGTTTATGGTGGAAACGTTGATGTTACTCATAGCAAGTTGCCCGGCGAGAAATTCGTGGCAACATCGCCACAGGGGAGTACTATGAATGTTTAGGGGGCTGTTCCATGGGCGGTTTGTTGAGGATAGCTTGTGCCTTGAGTCTGCAATCTCGGAGAAGAAAGATGGGAACTGAAGACGTGTAAAGGCTTGTGTTATGTAAGTGCATTCTTCTTCTAGAAAAAAAGGGCTGGAGATGCGAAGAGCTCTCAAGAAGAAGCCAATGGGGACTCCTCTCTTAGTGCGGGTTCTTGGTGTGAATTAGAAGTGTATAAAAAATCGTCCTTGTTGGTAGGTTTTCTATACACTTTGAAGAGAAGTTTGTCACTGTCGGGAGATCTGCACGTAGAACGTCGGGGAAAGGGAAGTTTGCCATCATTTTCGAGTTCAAGTGTAAACTTTATTGATGGTTCAACTGCATTTGATCTTGTTGAGAAGGGCCTGGATATTGAGACGTCTCGGATAGAAAACCAAAATCATCACGTATCTTACCCGGGTAACGGGTTGGGAATGAGGGTGCTGAATTTCTCTGTCTCCAGGTTTTCCATGAAGAGGTTGGCAAACACAGCACTGAGCGGGCTGCCCATTGCCATCCCAAAGCATGTTTGTAACATTGTCCTGATACTTGAAGAAGTTGAAATTAACACAAAGTTCCACTAGATTGATGAAATCTAGAAGAGGTAAAGGGAGGTCGGGGTTTTTTCAGTGACCCTCTGTCTCAGAATGTTGATTGCAGCGTCAGTAGGAACGTTGGTAAAGAGGGCTGTGACATCGAAGGAAGCCATGCTTTTGTTTTTGACATTCGGGTCGGAATTCGGGAGAGAAGGTCACCTGAGTGTTTGAGGTGGGCTTGACTGAGGGTGCCCAGAAGCGCTAAAAAGGTATTGGCAAGGTGCCGGCTAGTCTGTGTGGTGCGCTCCCTATGCCCGAAGTGATAGGCCGTAGTGGGATGCCAGGTTGTGTGTCTTAGGAAGGCCATACAGGCGTGCTGGTTTCGGTTGACCTGGTAAAAGTTTAAAATAGTTTCTTGCCTTGTTCTGATTTTTCGTAAGATGCTACGAGCCTTTTGAAGGAAAGTCTGGGTACTTTGAAGTAGCACTGATTCCGATACAGGCTGGTATGGTTGGCATCGTTGAGAAGTTTTAAGACTTTATTGTTGTAGTCGACAGTGTTGAGTAACACCACACCACCACCTTTGCCAGCGGTTGTAATGACGATATCATCGTTGTTGGCCAGGTTCCTGAGTGCTTGGCCAACAACGATGATATCGTCATTACAACCGCTGACAAAGGAGGTGGTGTGGTGTTACTCAACACTGCCCGACTACACAATAAAGTCTTAAATCTTCTCAACGATGCCAACACATACCAGCCTGTATCGGAATCAGTGCTACTTCAAAGTACCCAGACTTTCCTTAAAAAGGCTCGTAGCATCTTACGAAAATCAGAACAAGGCAAGAAACTACTTAAACTTTTATAGGTCAACCGAAACCAGCACGCCTGTATGGCCTTCCTAAGACACACAAACCTGGCATCCCACTAGGGCCTATCACTTCGGGCATAGGGAGCGCACCACACAGACTAGCCGGCCACCTTGCCAAATACCTTTCAGCGCTTTGGGCACCATCAGTCAAGCCCACCTCAAACACTAGGTGACCTTCTCTCCCGAATTTCCGACCTGAATGTCAAAAACAAAAGCATGGCTTCCTTCGATGTCAAGCCCTCTTTACCAACGTTCCTACTGACGCTGCAATCAACTTTCTGAGACAGAGGCTCACTAAAAAACCACGACCTCCCTTTACCTCTTCTAGATTTCATCAATCTAGTGGAACTTTGTGTTAATTTCAACTTCTTCAAGTATCAGGACAACTGTTACAAACAATGCTTTGGGATGGCAATGGGCAGCCCGCTCAGTGCTGTGCTTGCCAACCTCTTCATGGAAAACCTGGAGACAGAGAAATCAGCACCCTCATTCCCAACACCGTTACCTGGCTAAGATCGTTGATGATATATGGTTTTCTATCCGAGACGTCTCAATATCCAGGCCCTTCTCAACAAGATCAATGCATTTTAAAACCATCAATAAGTTTACACTTGAACTCGAAATGATGGCAATTTCCCCTTTCCTCGACGTTCTACTGTGCAGATCTCCCGACAGTGACAAACTCCTCTTCAAAGTGTATAGAAAACCTACCAACAAGGACGATCTTATACATTTTCATTCACACCAAGACACCCGCACTAAGAGAGGATCCTCATTGGCTTCTTCTTGAGAGCTCTTCGCATCTCCCGCCCTTGTTTTCTAGAAGAAGAATGCACTTACATAACACAAGCCTTTACACGTCTTCAGTTCCCATCTTTTCTTCATCCGAGATTGCAGACTCAAGGCACAAGCTATCCTCAACAAACCGCCCATGGAACAGCCCCCTAAACAGTTCATAGTACTCCCATGGGCGATGTTGCCACGAATACTCGCCGGGCACTTGCTATGAGTAACATCACGTTTCCACCATAAAAAACATCATCTATCAAAGAAACCCCACTACGAAACGCACCCCCACACCTCTAACTTTTACAGCAGGGGTCTACACTATCCCTTGTGGGTTCTGTCCCAAGAAATATGTAGGCGAGACAGGCAGAGATCTTGCAGTCCGCCTGAATGAGGGATCGAAATGCCTCTAACAGAGACGATGTAAGGTACGCCTGTGTCCTCCACAGAGACCCACGGGGCATTTGATGAACTGGAACGAGGCACAACTCGTTCTCACCGAACCAGACCTCAGACGCCGCGGTGCCCAGAAGCCTCACTAATCACCGTCACCGACACTATAGAACGCAACACTGGAAACTACAAAATTTCAAAAACATTGGCATACATGATACTTAAGCAGCACCAACCCAACAACCAGGAGTCACAAAGATTTCATCGCTACCCGTCCTCATCATAGGTAGAGGTTGTTTTGGTAAGGACCTGCCTCGCATGGGCCAGTAGGCCTTCTACAGTGTTCCTCCATTCTTATGTTCTTATGACATTCCTCAGGGCACGTGCGTCACATCTCACTCTCCGCCCATATATAAATTTTTTTCTACCTCTGTATGTTAGAAGTGATCAAGGTCCCCGACCGAAACGTT